TATATATATATATATATATATATATATATATATAGGCGGTTACTGCCTGCCATCTAATATGCACGTCGATTGTTGAACCTGAGTGTGCACGCATCATTAGCGGTGCCCCCATGGGTGCTGTAGCATGTTATTGCACTAGCTGCATATATTGGTGCCGCCAACGCATGGAGGGGGCTTTTTTGTATACCCCTGCATTCACTTGGCTTGCGTTTGTCGTGTGCAAGCGTGCTTCAAAGGCATCTTTATATACCTGTTGTCAGGGGTTTCATCTAGGGGATTGATGCGTTGGAGGGAAGTGAGTTCCTTGTTTCGTTATCAGCTGCAGCAGCTGTCGCTTGTGCTATTGCTATTGCCTTTTGCAGCATTGGGTAATTGCACGCTGACTGCAGCAAACGATGGTTTGGTGACTCGAATATCGTTGGAGGCCTCCGCTTTAGGTGCTTCGGAATGCCGCGACTTCTACTCCATTTACGAGCGGCAGCGTGCCCCTGTTGTGGAAAGCATGGGTTCTTTATCTTTACCTCTAACACATCCGCAAGCCGGAGCTGCTCTGTCTGCTGCCGAGATCAACGAGACCGCCGCTACAGATGCAGGAGCAGCAGCTGCTGCAGGAGCAGCAGCTGCTGCTCCTGCATCTGTAGCTGGAGCAGCAGCTGCTGCTAGAAGGAACCTGGACTTTCTTGACGCGGTAGAGGAAGGGCTAATTCCCTTTCCTTCCTCAGGGACCCGCGCCTGCTTCGAAGCCAAGTTCATTGACACAGCAGGCCACATTGCAGCTGCTGCCCTGGAGTCCGGCTTTGTTGCTCTTGCTGATTTCAGGTGAGGAGCCGTGCGTCTTCGTTTTCAAGCGGTTGAGCCGGCATTTGCATCCAACGCCCTGGATTCCTCCCGCCGTCGTACTTGCTTCTGCGCCTCCGTCAGCTGTGCTGCTCCCTGGGGTGTCCAAACTGCTGATAGCATGTTGTACAACAATTTGTGGCTGCTGTTTGCACAGAGAGGGACCACACGTCACCCATTCCATCATGCGCAACACCGGCGACTTCACCAGCGTAGATCCTCACATTCCCAAGCCTTATCACCTTGCTTACGCTGGCAGCTGTGGGGCAGGCATTCTCGTACGACCAAACTGCCAAACCCTAAACCCAAAACACTAGTTCTAATCCTTAATAAACCCTAAACCGTGGATGCGAGGATGCTCTGGGTGGCTACTGGGGGTTTGGTTGACCGCCGTTGGCTCGGCTCGCTGCTACCCTGCTGCGGCTTGGCTCCTTTAGCAGCTGGTGGCTTCTATTGGGAGCTCTGTCGGGCAGGCAGCATATGTTCTGCACACAACGCTATGCTGTGAAGGGGAAGGGAGTCGATGTTATGGGAAAGGCATGTGTATATAGGGGTAGAACTAAATATTTGGTGAAAGCCTTTGTAGGGGCAAGTAGATCCTGGCCATGTAATAGGGATGCGGAAAAAACATCTCACAAGACACAAGCTGTGCTTCGGCTGTGTGACTGCTGCTGGTACTGCAGGATTTGCGCACCGCGAAGCCCTTCTTGAGGCTGAGGGTCCCTGGCGTCGTCGGCGATGAAGGGGAGGAACGCACGAAGGGAGTGATTTGGCAGCCCCGCCGCTGTAGCAGCAACAGCCGCCGAAGTAGCAACTCTAGTAGCAGCAGCGACAGTGACGAGAGCAGCGGCAGCGACAGCAGCAGCGGGACCTTTGGTACCGCGATACACCGCATGATATGCAGCGACAGCAGCAACAGCAGTCGTAGAAGAGGCAGCAGCAGCGAGAGCAGCAACAGCAGCAACAGCAGCATGTGCGGGGACGAAGAGGTGTGGGTCCCACCTCCTTCTCGACCCCGTTTGCGGCAGCGGGAGCAGCAGCAGCCACGCCACAGCATTAGAGGCATTGGGCGTGGTAGCCTTAGAGACAGAATTGAAAGACTGGCCGAAGACACGAGCAGCTCACCAAGACCCGCTGTTGCGTCTGCTTCGCGCTCGCTGTGGCGAAGTGCTCCGAGACGATTCACTAGCGGTAGCAGCCGCAACCGCAACAGCAGCAGCAACACCAGTACACACACAGACAGCAACAGAGCCACAGAGAACAGCAGGGGCAGAGACGCAGATATTTATAGCCGCAGTGGCGGCAGCAGCGACAGTAGCAGAGAACTCGTTCCAGGTGCCCGCGTGTCCAGAGGTCCAACGAGTACCAGCAGCAGCAGCACCAGCCGCGCCGGCGGACGGCTGAGGCGGGGGCGAGGCGGTGTCTGGAGCCCTCCTTTATCTCCAGAAGCCTCTGTTCCTGCAAGTGCTGCAACCACAGAAGGTAAAGCACACAAACAAGAAGGAAGCCATATAGGGGAGGACAGAAGCAGCAAAACTAGCAGAAGCAGCAGCAAGCTCAACAGCAACCAGAACAGTAGCAGCAAAGCCCACAACAGCAACAGCAGCGACAGCAAATTTGTGCCCACGAAGAACGAAACGTCTTCGCCAACGAGCAGTGGCAAGCGACGCTGTATCCGCTCCCGCGATGGCAGCAGCAGTAGCAGCAACAGCAGCAACATAAGGGACACCGGCAGCAGCAGCAGCAGCAGTGCTTCCAAGCCTTCAGCGTGTGCGCAGAGAGATCCAAGGACCAGACTACAGCACGCCGCAGAAGAAGCAGCTTCTACTTCCTCTGCTGGTGGTGTTTCTCCACCCAGTATGGACGCTGAAGGTCAGAACCCACAAAACCTTCTGCACGTTCAGGGCGCAGTGTCGTCGCTTGTGCAGGCAGCGAGCAGCAGGGCACTAACTCGAAATGAGCAGCAGGAAGAGCAGCAGGAGGAGCATCCGGAGGTGGAACAGCAGAATCGGCAGAAAGAGGAGCAACACGACAGCGACACTTCGAGCTCCCGATATGCAGAAAGTAGCTGGCAGGCTGCAAGAAGGGACAACATCCTTGCCCTCTGTCTGTTAACAGCAGGCATGCAGCAGCAGGCGGGCGCCACAACGCCGTCCATTTCTGCCGCTCTAGCTTCTGCGTCTGCAGCATCTGCAGCAGCTGCTGCAGCAGTACGTGCATCCGATGGTCTCTTTGGGTTAGGAGGAGCCCCCCGGCGGCAGTCTGCACCGGCAGCATTCGCGGCAGCAGCAGCGACAGCAGACACAGCAGAAGCAGGTGCAAGTTGCGATGGGAGGATGCAGCAAGGAAGCCGCGGAGCAGAGGAGACACCTGAAAGCAGCCGCCTTCGCCCGGCGTTGCCACCTGGAGAAGTGAGGGCTTTAAGAGAGACATTTTTGGAAGTCTTGGGGCTACCGAGAGACCATGCAGTACCTTATGCGGTGGAGGATGCGGAGACTCGCAGTGCCCCTGATGTGGCGCCAGAGCCTCTGGAGAGGCCGAGAAGGAGCAGCAGCTCAGAGGAGACTGAAGGCGCGTCTTTACTGCGGGAGGAAGTGAACGACGAGCCACACGGAGGCGATTTAAGTTTCCTGCACATTAGCAGCCCCTCGTGGGACCGGTCCCGGGGCCGATCCCGATCCTTAGTTCCAGGCGGATCCCGATCTCGATCCCGTTCCCGTTCTCAAACACGATCCCGATCTTGGGATCGATTCTGGGGTGTACCTGGGGAGACTGTGGCGCCCACGAGGGCGGCGGCGGCGGGGGCTTCTCCTGATGTACAGGAGGCGCTGCGGCAAGCGGAGGCAGTTGCAGCTCAGCTGCCTGCAATTCGATTCCCCACATACCGTGAGGTCTCGAGACAGAGGGGACAGAGAAGACAGCTGCACAGAGCAGCAAAAGTAGCAGACGTGCCGCTGGTGGAGATGGTCGACAAGATCGTTTTCTCTTGGGACGGAAAGCTGCTTCTCGCCATTCGCAGGAGGCAGGAACCCCTCATTTACAGCGCCGACTGGGAGGTAAGCAAGAGCCCCAAGTGGCAGGCTGTAAATGCAGCATCGCGAGTGGTGGCTGCCGTGTTCTGGACGCCTCGATACTCTGCTGAGGGTTTCCGCCTTGGCCTCTTCATCTCGTGTTTAATAGTTTTGTGTGTCCTGCGCTATGTTTGTGTATCCGTCTTAAGCCCTCACTATGTTGTTTGCCAGCCTCCCAGTACGTCGTCTGTCATGCCCTCACTGTTTTATTTTTCTCTCTTTCCCTCTTCATCTGCGATTCAGTTGCCGCTGTTTGAGCTACAAAGCGACGGGTACACAAACGCTACCACCATGAAGGGCGGTTGCTTCCTAACGGACATGCAGCACGTCGCCTGCGGCTCAGAGGATTTGCAGGTACCTTTGAGGCTAGTAACGTGCATACATGCATCCATCCATCCATAGAAGTGGAGAGGCCCAAATAGCCAATTGGAGCACGTTGATTTTCAAGTGGCCCTCGTCAAGAGGTGCTGGCTGCTGCTGCAACTTTCCCTACATTTGCTGCTGCTACTGCTACTACTTTTGCTGCTCCTATAGGTGCACATCTGGCAGCTCCCTTCTCCGTTGCCAGTGAAGCCTTTGGCTACGCAGCCGCTGAAGCGGAGGGTTTGCCTGAAGGGACATCTTTGTGTGGTGAACTGCTGTGCCAGGTAAGTATCCTGTTTAGCTAGGATTCATTTTGTAGCTTTTGTCCTCAATGTTAATATTTCGTTTCAGTCTGCCAGCTCCTATTATTGTTACACTTTTTAAAGGTGTACTTATTGTCGTGAAGAGGATAATATATAGGCATCCTCAGTATAGCTCCGTAGCATTTACACGCTTTGTATTATTCGCTCTCGCCGGATAATATGTGTATGAAAGCTACATGCAGATAATAAACACAGGAATGTGATCTGTATATGTATACATTTGCAAATATGCAACACAACACACAAATGTAGAATATATACAGCGGGTAAACATGCGTAAGTAGCTGCAGAATATATGCAGCCTTTTGGAGGTAGGTGTAGTGCATACCGATGTTTAGCACTTACAAAAATGAAATATAATGAACTACGTTCAGACTATACTCTTCTGTATAATGCATACACATGATACGCAGAAATATGATGCATGCAGAGAGTATTTACACGCAGTGCACCGGCGCGTCCCGCATGCGCATACTGCGCATCTGTACGATGCATATATGGTATATAGAGTATATATGTGTATGTACATTCAACGTATGACAATGCCATCCCAAAACAAAATAGCAAGCAGTCCCATATCCAACAGAAACTGCTGCGAGACGAAGCCGTTAAACATACCGTTCAGTCATATTCATCGAGTCGAATACTAATGGTAGTATTTGGCTTGCCAGTAGTGCTGTGAGAACAAATATTAGTGAAGGGCATATTGAACTACTTTGTTGGCTGTTACGTGATGTTGCAAGGGATACTGCTTGCCGTTTTGTGTTCTCCAGGTGTTGTATTGAGTTGTTGGATGCCTTGCGCTGCTGTGTTGCTCCTGTAGCTTCTTTTGCTGCTGCGCTTGCTCTTGGAATCGCTGCTGCTATTCAGGCTGCTGCTCCTTGCAGCAGCTTCTGACCCTTCTGCTTGTGCTCCTGCTTGTGTAGGTTCTCCTCCTAGTGCTATTACACCTGCTGGTGCTACATCTTTTGTGTTAGTGCTGCTGCTGATGCATGCAGTCCCTCCCCCCAGAGCCCCCTTGGGCTCTGGGGTCCGCCGATGCTTGCGACGAGCGGTGTTGAGAAGATGGTTAGGGTTTGGACTTGCGAATATTCGCGAGACGAAGACGACTGCGATGGATACAGACCCGATGGCAGGCAAGGAGACGGACACACAGAGGACACCGATAGAAGTGAATAAAATGCGTTAGAATAGACAGGAAAATAACCACCGGGCACAATGACTTATAGACGGACACACGGACGAGATAGGCAAATCATTAGATAGAGGAGACGAAGAGACAAACAAAACGAGAGTCAGATAGTGCAAAGAGACACATGTGGCAAGGAAACATACAGCCAGGGGATAAAGACAGAATCGGGGTACGGGAAGAGGCGTAAAAGAGAGAGTGAGATGTGTTGATAGAAACAGTGGAGTTGAGGAACTCAGGAAAGGACTTTCTTAAGGCACCTGCCCAGCTACAGGACAGACACAAAATGCACCTTTGGTTTACGTCACCGATTTTGTATTCTTCTCTTCTTGTTGCAGATTTGTGTCTCACGATACCACAGAAGATTATCTTACGATTGCACGCTTCAATCAAGCAACTCCAGCGGCGGCTAGGTGGGGGGACAGCGCGGTCCTCAAACCCTCAACCCCCAATTTTTGGCTTCGAATTGTTTGTGTCTGATGTCTGCTTTACTTCTCCTTCCATTATTCTCCCAGTTGATTTCCGTGTCTGTCTGTTGATTGGTTGTTCCCCGCATTCATGCCTGGCTGCCGTATATATCTCTTCGACTTTCTTCCTTGTAGATTCGTTTACCTGTTCCTGGTTTTGTTGTTTTTCGATTCGGCACCTTCGGTCCTCCTTTTTACCAGGACTTTCCTTTTTTACTTCGTTTCGTTTTCTCCTCGTTTCTTTCCTGGTTCCCCTTCTTTCTCCTGCCATTCAGCTCTGCTGCCCTCTGTTCTCCTACATCTCGTATTCTTTTCTTCCGTACTATTCGATTTCATGACCAGTATGTTTGCTTTGCTTTCTGCCGCCATCGTCCTGGTGCAGTTTGTGCCGTACCCGCCGATCGTATGACCTCAGTGCAATATGTCTAATTGTCAATATAGCATAGTATTGAGCAAATGTAAGTACCCGTAATATTTATGTGTGAAGCGTATTTGTGCGTATTTGTGCATTAACGTACTTATGCATATGTCCATGCTGCATTTGCATTTGCCGTATATATATATATATATATATATA